GGTGTAGAGATCACTCTTTCCTCCTCAATGGGAATTTTGGGACTTTGGAGTACCACTGAATTCCCAGCAGCTTTAGTTCTTATTAGCCTGGATTAAAGAACCTCTTCTAACTTTGCAACCTCATACCCCATTATTTCTCTATATAATTCCTACTCCCCCAACAATTATAACTCCTTATTATTCTCCAAACCAGGATTGGCCTTTCACATGTGTAACCCGCCATCCCCCTTAAATGCTGATGTTACGTTTGATCTCTGGTAATTGAAATACTGGCAATCCTTGAGACCAGTTGAAAAGGCCCCTCCCTTATGCAAGTCTTACCCTGCCAGATGGACAAGATTTCTTCCCTCTCTGAAGTTTCAGAGAACTCACTCTGCACTGTTCTCATGGCAATGGCCTTGTTCAGCCTTTTTTGACTGCATGTTTTTACTTTCTCTAGAGAACTTTTAGTCGAAAGCAAGTTTTTATCTTCACTAGCAATTAACATAGTAATCTGTGCATTATAAATGGCTGCTAGATTTGTGAAGGATTGAATCAATATTAACACTTCAACAATAATACACTGGGTGTGTATATGTATACATTAAATATATATAATAACATTCTTGATCATGTGCATCTGACCTGGCACTTTTGGAAAAAAAGAAAGGTGATATCAGAGGCCCTATTCTTATTTATCATTCCTGAATACAATAAAATTAAATACCCCAACTGAGCAACATGTTTTTAAAAAGAACATGTGCATTTTCTTTAGATTACCTTCATCCACACATATGAGATTGTGACTTATAAAAATTATAGGCAAAATAAATGCTTTACAAAGTTTACAAAGTTTCTCATTGTGCTGGTTTGTAAGACCTCCTTATTTTTCTCTAAAGTAATAACAATCACTTATTCTAGAGCTGGTTGCTGTCCTCTAAAACAGAGGTTAAATATAAAAGTCTTAGAATGTGTTAGGCTCAAAGCATGAGTATTGACTGTGTTTAGGGAACAGAAAACAAATTCCAGAAGAACAAAACGATATGCAGAAGCTTAGGACTGACCAAACTTCTTGGGGGAAACCAAGCTTACTGACACAACAGAGCACAGTCATCAGTGAAAATGGAGTTAAACTTGAATTTTCAGAATTAAGAAAGCCAAGAGCAAACTGAAATAAAAAGGAATAAGTGAAGCTCAAGTTGTGCCCATAAAACTCAGTTAAGTTGGGATAGGTCATCAGTGATAAAGAAGCTTCAGGAACACTGACCGGAAAAGACAAATCCAGGTCAGGGAATATGTATGCTAGCACAAGAAAACAAGGCAAATGAGAGTACAAGGCACTAAGGAATCAGCCAAGATGACATCAGTAACAAGCAAATGTCAAAAAAGATACAACTAACTCAGGCCATGGTCACCCTGAAAGCATAGCCATGTTGGCTTCCCCAAGTGAACTGCACTGGGGGACGGTAAACTGATAATGGAGACTGGGGAAAGGGAGTAGCGTTATAAACCCTGGTTTGCACAGGAACGAGGTGTTGCTTAGAGAGGATACAGCACGAGGTGGTTTCAAATGGCTGTTCTACTCCTTCTCAGCCTGTAAATATGGAACATTGTTTTACCTTCCCTAGTCTAAGACTCCCCACAAACAGAAGCAGGATAATAGCATGCCCTATCTCATGCTGGTAAAAGAAATAGACTTTATTAATGAGTTAGCATGTAGTAATAACCAAAATATTAGCAACCATTGAAGATAGTTTGTTAATTTATTCAACCTCAAGTTCTAGAGTTTAACATCTACTGTCAATTTAGAATTTCAACTTTGTGTATAATCTGCCTGATTCACTGTGATCGCCTTAGTACTTATGTGCTAAGGCCTTGAGAACTGACAGTTTATGCAAGGTAAGGCTGCATTTTCACCTACAGACAGACATGGCTGTGCACACAGAATATTTTGAAAATATCACAGTTAGCAACAGATTGATCATGTTGCTCTAAAATCCATAAAAGTCTTGTAGTTTCTGACAATCAAATATCTATCTACTATGACAACTTTTGCCATATTAGTCAGAGATTTTCTTTTCTAATGTGGCTGAACATACTGTTTTGGTTCTACCAAACCACAAAACATGAAACCAGTCTAAGACGCAAACCCTGTGTGGTATGCAATGCTACAAATAAAAATGCTGCCAAACCAACTTTTTGTTTGATGCAGTCAATCTTCTTGTCTTCCAAATGACTTCACAATTCACTACCTCTTCTGAGAATGAAAGAAAAGCTTTGGTAACATTCCCTGTTGACCTGAAATGTCCATAAATTAAAGTCATGATAATGAGAAAGAGGAAAAAGGAGACTCACTACAAGAACTCAAGAATGATATCGGTTACTTTATTATTTTTTTGGATCTGGTATTGTTGATGTGAAGTAACAAGCCCAAAAAAACAATCTGAAAGCCCAAAGAGCTACACAATATGAATAAAGCATGTTTTCCTTCTTAAATCATAAGCTACTTAAATTTATGCCCAACAGTTTTGGAACACAGATGAATAATTTTATGCACTACTAGTGGTGGGACTTACTTGTCTCAAGTACTTTAAAAAAAAAATTATCAAGTTGAAATGGCGACTTTCATATTAAAAGCTCAAAGGTTATTCTTAAATGCTATGCCACTATTATATATGTTTTTCTACATTTTTCAAGACTTAATCTCTGAAATTAACACCTATCTGATACCTGGTGCATGCACATAGGAGAGGCTCTCTCATCTTTAAACCAACCTATCTCAGAAGAACTAATAAAAGTCAGGAAGAAAACCTAGGCACTCTTCAGAACCTATACTTTTATCTATTATATGAATTCTGGGGAAAAATTTGGGGGGTTATTTGTTTGCTTTCTTTTAAACTTAAGAGTGATAACCACAATCATTACCCTGATTGATATGCACAGTTCTTGAATATTATATCTGCTAGGAGATGCAACAATAGCTTTATGGTCTAAATAAACTTTGTAAGCTACAATAATCAGAATTTTAATGGTGAATAAGGAGAGGGTTAAGGCATAACAGAAACATTCCTGGTGTAGACTTTAATATGAAATGATTTGGCAATGGTTAATAACGATCAAGATTACAGTAAGCAAACAATTGAGTTTATATTAGTGGTTCCATCAGGACAATTACTGGAATAAGAGTTGAGGAAGCTATTGTTTTGTAAAGGGTCATAGAGTGAAGGTCTTGAATATGAGTGAAGATAAAACAAAGTTCATTTCAAGCAAAGAAGGATAAATACAAAACATTTGTTAGGAAGTTTTTTAATCCAAAGCAAGTTACTGCAGCACAGACAGCCTTAATGCTACATGGTTTAGCAGTGGTCAGAAGAGAGAACCTGGAAAGTCCAGAAACTAAAAAGTGAATGCATATGCAGTAAGTAAGCAAAAAAGCATGTACGTGATATTTTGTTGTTCTATAATCTTGGAGAGAGTGAGGGTTCCATTCCCTTTTTGCTGGGAACAATCTGCAATTTGAGATTCTTTCCCTCTTCGTTGAGGAGTAGACTGGAGCAAGACAATTGTAAAAGTGTGTTGGATAAACACAAAATATCTGTGCAGGAAGGAGGAAGCAACAAAACTAGAAAATGTTGAGAACTGAAGCATTATACTTTTGTATCTCTTGAAAACAAGAATAATATATCTAGGGACCTTCTTCCTTTGGACCTTTCACATCTGACAACACTACTTGTATTTTATACTCTGCTGGTATATTCATATCCCCATCCACCCAGAGATTCCAATCTTATTTACAAGGCACTTCTCTTAATAACCAAAGAGTTTAGTCACGGTTCAAGCACATCTTGCTTTGCCCTAGACAGATTCTACAGGGGCCTTTGTGGCCATTTCTAGCTTCATTGGTTTTACCCTGAGGGCATGATCACCAAGAATGCAGAATATTCACCAGACTGCCCAGGGGCAAGGATATCATATATGATTCAGAGTGAAAAAAAAATTAGTTTATATGAAACAGAATATTAAACATAAAGGGCAATGATTTTCATTTTAAAATTAAGGGAGTAGAAAGAACATATTTTGTGTTACTTTACTCTAAAAAAAATGCCTTTTCTTTATAGTTTTTAACTTTTGTTAAAAAGTCAACTTTGGCAAGGAAATCATTGTACATAAATGAACATACAATTGAACATTATGCCGTATTTGTAATTTTTAGGTGATGCAAACATTTGAATTATCTGTTAAAATCAAGCTGCTAAGTTCTTTTAAAACAAAGCAAGCTGTTTCATTTCATTCTTTACCACACTGTGTAGAGCTTTCTGTTTTGTTTTGTTTTGAAAAACATGAACTGAAGAGACAAGAGGAGGGAAAACCCAACTTCTTGAATGACCCGATTAGAGTGTCATGCACATGTGTGTCTTTCACATTGTGATTGACATTTATTTGTAGTTAGTACTTTATTTTATACACTGAGGAGTCATACTAGTGAGTTAAAAATAAAAGAAAAGTAAAGCACAATCTGCTACCTTTGTTGTCATCAGCATCTCCAAGTTATGGTCCAGGGCCAAAGTCTAATTTCTGGCCTCCAGATGTTAATACTTAGGAATTTGGTTAATACTTAGGAATTTAGTCAGAATGGATGATTCCTGACAGGAATCTGTTTGGGAACATGTGATATATCTGTGAAGTCAGAAAACCTGACTCTGTCCCTCCATAGCTCTGTGACCCTGTTCGTTGTTTAACTTTTCTAATCCTATGTTTCCTGCAAATTATATTTCATGGAAATAATTATAGTATCTTCATCTTAGGACTGTTATTAGGGCTTAATGAGATAGTGCATATAAAAGTTCTTAGCACAGTGTACGCTATATAGAAAGCACTTGACTATCATTACTACATTAAGTATCTGGATGGCTGAATGTTATTCTTACAAATATTTAGACCCAACTGTTTCAAAGTTATCAGCATTGAAAAACAGCATATCAATTTCAAAACAAATCATCAGTCAGAACTGGGATGCTTACAGCCAACATCCAGAGTTATCTTCCCAGTCGCTCTTCCAGCTTCATTGACAGCCACACACATATAATCCCCAGCATCCAGGTCTTGAGTTTCTTGAATCTTCAAAAGTCCCAAGAGAGGGTCAATAATGAGGAAAGTTGAGGGCCTCAGTTCCAGATCCCCTAAGTCAAAACAAGGAGAACATTAAGCACTAAAGTATTTACATAGTTTACTCTGCTGTTGGTTTGATTTCAAAACATCTGAAGAAAACTGATTGTAAAGTTTTTAAATACAAGTGTCTGGCACAATGTACACACTTAAACAATGTTTATATGAGGAAAGAATGAAGTGTTTCTTGGCACTGAGCTGATTTATTAGTATGTATAATTCTACAGGCTAATCTATAGCCAAAAATCTGTTCCTATGTGGATTTTGTACAAATATTTCCTACTGTATATGAGGAACATACCCTCCAAAACAATACTGAGGAAGTGGCAAGGGTAGAAGCTGTCACTATGGCTGTGGCAGGTAAGAAGGGCATGAGGAGATGTGAGTTGAAAGACTCATGACAGGATGAATTCCAGTTACCCAGGAAATGCTTCAACAACTATAGGTGTTCTTGGTTTGGCCAATGACTAGGTTTTTGATTTGTTGGATGCTAATGCTATCAGTTTTTTGTCTTAGAGGTGTGAGCTGCCTGAGAAGAATCTGATAATGGTTGGAAGAAAAAGGAACCAAAACTATAAGGAGAGGGGAGGGAAGAGCTTATTGGGAGGAGACAGGTTACATATGAGGAATTTGTGACAATGAATAGAGAGGTGTGTTGTGATATCTGTCTCCGAGGTCATCTTTATTAAATCTGCATTACTCATCAAATTTCTTTTTTTTTAAGTGGATTTTTTTTTCGTATAGAAGAACTGGGATGTAGGCCAGAGGTACAGGAGGTGAGAGGATTCACCAGAGATGGATTGGGGACCAGAACAAGTGGATCTACTGAAATACACTGCTGAGGGGAGAAGAGGGTGAATAGGAGAGGGACGCTGTGCCATGTGGGTCAGCAACCTGGCCGGGGATTGAACTCAGGCTGTAGCGATAATAGTGCTGATATTAAACCTCTAGGTCACTGGGGAGGCTCACAATTAAATCTCTTTAAGTTTGAATTACGGGCCTTTTGGAAGAAGCAAGTAGGAGGTAAACGTATATGCAATGGAATTAAATATTGAATTTCACCTAAGAGTGAAGGTAGGATAACCCAAGAAAGCTAAGTATTGTGTGGGTTATGGGTATAAGCTCTGTTCTTGTAGCATGCCAAGTCCCCTGAGAACCATTTCTATTTAAAGGCAGACAAGAGCTCAACAAATCTGGAAGACAGCTTTACCCCCCAGGGTGGCTCCTCTCCTAAGAATGGAATTAACCAGAATGACCAGCATCATTAAAAATGCCTGCTATAGATGTTTAATGTCAGCTTAGTGTCCATATATTACATTTTTTTTTTGTGAGGGGTAGTAACAAACTTTTATGAAGACCCTAAAAACTTCCAAGAGGTTTGTAAGTATTGTTCTTAAGTCTATAGATAGATGTCATGTCAGAAAAATCTAGCCAGTGTTAAGTCTCCAAAATGTCACACAGAGACCTGGAAAAGCCACATAAAGCCATGGGCCTGAAGACCAAAGAAGTAACTCCCTTAGCTTCTAGCGAGTAAAGAAATTGAAAATTCTCTAGGATACCACAAAATGCACCAATCAATGGACTCAAGACAACAAACAGGCAATTCTCTTTTTATTTATATAATCTGGGGAGGAGAAAAGGTCAGAGGAGTCCTAAATTTAAAAACAAGAAAATTACATTAGCAACCGTCAGTGCCAAAACTAAAGCACTTTTCAGCATTCCAATACTTTAAACCCCAATCATCTTTTCAAGCTTGCTACTACATACCATGCAAGGACGAGAGAAGCAACTAAAGCCATGTCTATGTGCCTCTGGGAAATTTTCATAAATAAAAGCAGATGATGTTGACATAAACTTTCCTCCCACTAAGGGAGGATGCAATGTGGCCTAGCTGTTCATCAAGTATTAAAATGTTTGGAATAAAATGCATTTAGATTTTTGGAATTTACTTCTCCTTTTTTTTTCCCCCCCCATATATGTCACAGGACATAACAGTATGAAATAAAGACCTTTGTACTGGTAGGTTTTCAAAATAAAAATGTTTAAAGAGTAACAGTCAGTAGTGAAAGAAAATATAAATTGGAAAACATTGTTTAAAACAAATTTGCATTAATATCACATTTTGATAATCTCTCCTTTCTTGATTTCTATTTAAAAAAAATCAGTCTTTAAGTTATGGAGAAGCCAGAGAAAATACAGAACTCTGAGATGAAAATGAAATAGGGATTGTTTACTTTTTATATTAGATAAGAAGAATGTTATACATAGTAAAATAAATAAACTTTTCTAACTAGTACAGGATTTAACCATCATTAGTGTTAAAGAGGGTTCTCTTTCTGCTGTAGTTTAAATCCAATCCTGGCCTCTTGGATGTAAAGACTAACAGAGAGATCGTTATTCCTGGCATAAGATCTTTTCAAATATTTGATGGTAATTAAGTGGCTTTCAAAAATGTTTGTCTCAAGATCCTCCTACATATATTTAAAAATTAATGAGGGCTTTAATGAGTTTTTGTTTACATGGACTATATTTATTTGTACTTAGTATTTTAGAAATAGAACTGAAAAAATTAAAAATGCATGTATTTATTCTATAATAACAAACTCATGGTATTCTAACATAATGAATATATTTTATGAAAAATGTTATATTTTTTTGAAACAAAAGAAATTCAGTGAGAAGAGTGATGTTGTTACACATTTTTGTAAATCACTAGAATGTGTAGCTTAATAGAATACAGCTAAGTACTCATATGTGCTTCTGCATTCACAATACGGCATATCACACATTATGAAACCTCCAGAAATTCCATCATAAACACATGAGTCAGATGTCCTTGGTGGTGCAAGGGGTTAAGGTGAAATCTCAGAAGCTAGCCACTGCCTCTGCAGCATGAGTTCGATCCCCGGCCAGGGAGCAACCCACATGGCGCAGCAGATCTCTCCTGACTTGCCTGCTGCTCCCCTCAGCAGTGTATTTCAGTCAATTTGCCTGTTCTGTTCCCCACTCTGTCTCTGGTGAATCCTCTCACCCTCCCACACCTCTGGCCTGTACCCCAGTACTTGATGCATAAATAAGTAAATCTTTAAAAAAAATAAAATAAACTCATGAGTCAATGAGTGTATAAAAGAGAAATACCACCTTTGTGTTATTAGGAAAATATTTTTGATCTTGTGGGTTACCTTAAAAAGACTATGGGTAGGCTCAGGAGTTCCTGACTACACTTCAAGAAGCATCCATCTAAATGAAAGCGGTTTCTTTCTCTTGGTGAATTATTTCTTTATTAGATAATATTGGCTTATAACACCATATATAATTAGGTTCACAGCTTTTCAAGTGTATGTTATCGCACCACACCCACCACCAAGGCACTCACAGTCCTCTACCATAATCCAATTTCTTTAATATTTTACCAAAGATATCCTTTATTTTTTTAAAGATTCATTTATTTATGCATACAAGACCTGGGGTACAGGCCAAAGGTGTGGGGGGTGAGAGGATTCATCAGAGACAGTGGGGAGCAGAACAGGAAGACGGATCAAAATACACTGCTGAGGGGAGCAGCAGGCAAGACAGGAAAGATCTGCTGTGCCATGTGGGTGACTCCCTGGCCGAGGATCAAACTCGTGCTGCAGTGGCTGCAGATAGCTTCATAGGTCGTGTTTAACCCCTCGTGCCACCAGGGAGGTCCACCAAAGATAGCCTTTATATGTTTTCTTTGTATTGCTGATGCTTTCTTGAACCCGTTTTATGGAGTTCAATTCTAAAATTGAAAAATCTAAAATCTCAGTAGCATTTTTGATTATAGAACTCCTTTTCTTTGATAGACTGAGCAGAATGCGATTTGTTAATATGTGATGGATGCCAGGGGCTGGGAGCAGGAGGCATGGGGAGTTGCTGTTTTAACTGGTATAAAGTTTCAGTAATGCAAGATGAATACATTCCAGAATTCTGCTGTATAGCACAGTGCCTGTATTTAAGCAATGTTATACTGCACACTTAAAAATTTGTTGAGGATAGATCTCATGTTTCATGTTCTCACTATAATAAATAAGTAAATAAATAAATAAAACTATATATACATATGTAAGTAATTGACACCATAAATAAAGTAGATGACACCATAAATAAAGTAGATGATACCATCCATCTACTTTATTCAACTAGAATTGCTTAAAAAGATATGAAAATTATTTACATGGTCAGGATAAGAACTCTTCTTTACCCCTGTGGTTTCCATAAGGTAGGAGTTTCCTAATCCACCTGGAGTCTGATTCCCAGTGGAGATGGGAAAGGAAGGCCTATGCCTCCCTGGCACCCATTCTTTTTATAGCTGGTCTGAATGTAGAAGTGTCTGATCTCAAGTTTTGCTATGATGATCTAGATTCTACTTATACAGTTGTCTGCCTGTGACCAGGAGAGTTAGTTGGCCTAATGTCTTCCAGTTCGAGGCAATACTGCCTATTGTGCATGAGCTTTGGCGCATTCCTCCAACATCATCTGCCAGTATTTAATGCCCATATTCTAGCTCTATTGGTTTATAACTCAGACAGAGAAATGCATGTTACTTACTAGGCCCACTGAACTAATAGGTACTCAGTTGCATGTTTGGAGGGGCTTCCTAATTCCTCCTCCAGCTTCCAAGCTATTAATGGGGACAAGGCTGAGAGGAACAATAAGTTATTCAGGAAAGTAGCCTCAATTTGGGAGAATACAAGGCTCTGTATGACTCTGCTATAAACAGGCAGAGAAATCAGCAGGTTCCGCTAATTTTTAAAAAGTTTTTTCACATTTATTCTTTGTGTTTTTATTTTGAACATAAATTACTGACTGCTGTTTTTTAAAATACTGCCTGGATATTTTTCTGGATTCATTATGATGTGAGTTTAAAATTGATACCTATTTCACTTGTAATTCAAAGACTTGAGTATTTTAAATAGGTAAAATTAGTTTACAATAACTGAAATAAACCTAGGTAAAAAAGCAAATCCAAATATACTTTCTTGACTTTCTTTTTGTCCAACATCTAAGTGAAGCTGCCATGGTAGTTGCTGCTCCAAGCTTTGTGATGCCACCCAAGGATGATAAGGAGAAAGATGCCAATAAGTTGGCCAAGAAAGACAAAGACCCATTGAAGAAACCTCGAGGCAAGGCCACAGAGAAGATGTGGTCCAAAGGCAAAGATTGGGACAAGCTCAATAACCTAGTCTTGTCTGACAAAACTACAAATGACAAACTCTGTAAGGAAGTTCCCAAATGTAAACTTATAACCCAGCTGTAGTGTCTGAGAACTGAACATTTGTGGTTCCTTGGCCAGGGCAGCTCCTCAGAAACTCCCGAGCTAATAAAGAACTTATCAAGTTGGTTTCAAAATAGAGAGCTCTAGTAATTCACACCAGAAACCAGAAGTGGAGATGCCACAGCTGCTGGGGAAGAAGATGCATGAACAGGTCCCATCAACTGCACATTTGAAAAATAAAACTTCACTAAATTAAATAAAAACTGCCTTATCAGAGGAAACAAAGACTTTTTCCTTAATGTGGAAAACTGTGAAAATGACATTATTTCCTAGTTTCCATCCTTGTTTTTGATTTGTATTATTTGAAAGTGTTTCTTTTCTACATAAAGCTCTTCTTTTTCACCTCATGTTCCCCAAGAGTTTGAACCCGAGGTGAATTCATAATTTTGTGATTATGACATCAACCTGTTGCTATGGGAATGTCTGTGATTTAACAAACAGAATCATAACAATAGTGCTTTGTACTATTTAGCATTTTTCATCTGAAGATTAAAAAGTATTTTGCAAACTGCATCTCAATAATCCTAGCAACCTCCCTGTTATGGTGTTTTTGGGTATTTTTCTTTCTCATAAACTGGAAGAATAGAAAGAAATGAAGAAGGATGCTTTACACAGGTATCTGCTGTCAGCATCTGGGCCTGGGCCTGGACCCAACTGTATCCTCACTAAGGACGGATGACACACAACAGTTGTTTTATTAGAGAACCACAGGGGAGTGATCTTTACGTTACAAATAGTGGCAGATCATTTCTATGCTTAAGTATCTTCTATGCATGATGCAGCTGACCAGCGTTACATTTGTCTCTCAGTTATGTGTAAGTTTCTATGTGTGTCTTTATTTTAACTTCTATGTGTGTTTTTATTGAATATGTCCTTATGAATCTAGGAAACTTTCTATGAGGGAGAGTCATTATCTCTAAGAAAAGTGAACCAAAATCAGCGAAGATATTTTAAATGTTAACTGAGTATTCTTGGACAATTTTCTTCAGGAAACAATCCTAAACTAACAAAGAGAATGTTCAGCTGGATTAGCAAAGGCGAACTTTTCCTGCTTTGATTTTCACGGTCCTATAATCCACACCAGATGTCAAATCCTGAAATTTAGAGTTCAGAATTGTGAAGCATCATTTCTAGTGAGATCATAAACACATTTTATGGGGCTGCTAAGTCATGCACCAAAACAAATTTTTAACAAATAACTTTTTTTAAAGAGAAAACAAAGCTAAGTGAACCAGACATGAACATACTTAAGAACAGTACCTTTAAACCATTTAACTTGAGGTGGAGGAACGCCAGAGGTTTTACATTCCATAATTGTTGTGTCCCCAAGGGCAACCAAGAGCTCACTCTGAACTACGATCAGCTTTGGGGTTTCTGAAGAAAACATGCAAATAGTTAACATGTCCACAATGCCACATGAACCCTGTTTACATTTACTAAATGAACCAATTTTAAAAAATCTATTAGTATTGATGTGCTTTAGGTCACTTCATCATTTATTAAAAAAAAAGGAATGCTTATTATATACATGCACACACAGGTATGTGATGAAAGATCATTTACTAACACCAAAAAAAAGGTTATTAGGCAAAAGTCATTCTGATAAAACAAAGTCCAAATATTTTAGGAAATTAAATGAAAGGATATTATGAAAAATGAGGTACATGAGGAAAGAAAAAATCTTCTATCCTATAGAAACCATACTAAAGAAACAAGACAGAAGGATAGTAGTAATAAAAATAGAATCAAAAGAGCTATGGTGATAAAAATGACTTGGCTAAGTGACGACTCAAGGATAACACAGGTGAATTTGTTGTAAAGGTTTCTATGATTTTATAATATTCATGTTTAAGAGAGACACTTGCAGTCTGAGGCTAAAATTTGCATAAAATACAAAAAAGTAGATATTCTCCATTTTGAGTCTCTATTATCCTTTGATGTTCACTACGGATATTCTCAAGTTTCTTTCCTCAGCTCTGTTTGCTTCACCCTCTTGCCTAATACTTTAATTTACTCACACATTTTCTCTTAATGGGATATTTAGAACTTCCTTGCTTCCACTGAGATGATTTTAAACAAAGCCAAGAGTTAAATTATCAAAGACCATGTTACTCTCCTATGAGAAAATCTTCAGTGATTGCTCTCCATAATCCTCTAGTTGGCTTTCAAAAATTACAAACTTTTTCTTTTTAACCTTGCCTTCCATGACATGTCCTCACTTATAAAGCAAGAAGCTACTGATAGTCCAAAATGCCCCTTACTCTCCCGTCTTTCTGCTTTTGTTAAAACTGTTTCCCCTGCCTAAAATGCCCTTTGCCACAACTCTTTTTTATATATTTCATCATTTTATTGGTCACATGCATCCTTAATGCACATAGTCCATTTGTTCATTTGTCATTTTTTATGATTATTTATTATTTACTTATTTTTAACTATTTATTTTAACTGAGGCAACATTGGAGTATCCTCACCATAGTGCATCTACCACCACAGACCTTTGTCCATCCTTCCCTCCCTGTTCTTTCCTCTCCCCTACCCCCTTCCCCCTTGGTATCTCAGTTCTGTAGTCAGTCTGTAGTCTGCAACCTATCAAGCATAAATTGTTCAGCTTGCCTTCATCTGACTATTCATTTAGTTACTTTATATTCCACATATTATATTAGTGACACCATCTGGTATTTTATCTTTCTCCTTCTGACTTACTTTGCTTAGCATTATCCTTTCAAGCTCTTTGCCACAACTCTTCAAATCCCGTTCATTCTTCCAGACAGAGCTTAAATTCTGTCTCCTTAGAGAAATCTTTGTAAATTCCCCAGTCAGAATCAATCTTCCCCTCTGCCAACCATCCACTATAGTACTTATCCGTCTGTCTTATGATATTACTTCATGTATATCAACTCCTATTATACAAGCTCTTGAAAAATAAGGACTTCATGACTCACATTGCTTATGCTTCACTGCACAATCTCTTGCACATCATCTTTTACACTCTGGGTGATTAATAAGTTAAATTAATGAGTATTTTGGCTCCATTATGAATGAACAAAATTCAATTTCTGTAATGACTTATATGCTTCAACTCTGTCTACACATTTGTCAGTTCCCTCCCCACTTGGGTGTTCTGTGAACATTTTTAATTGCTATCATCAAAACTGAGCCCATTTTTCTTTCTAAGCTCTATAGAGCTTATCTATAGCTGAGACCATTTTTTATCTATAGCTGAGACCATTTTTTTTTTTACAGCCTTCTAGGTTTAATACTTGTGATTCTTTTGTTACTACACTTGCCTAAATTAAATTCTCTAAATTGGGGCTCTTCTGTATGTCTTACTCTCCACTCAGTTTCACTAACTCATCATGAATGATGGTGAATGAGAATGAGCGAAAGGTTGGGTTGCTGGCCATTAATTATTCACAACTTACAAATTAACACTGAGTATGTAGTATCTTAATCCTTTATTTATCTAAGAAAGAACAAATTAAAAGAAGCATTCTATTCTATTTTCTTAGAATAGATTATATTACATACTATATTACATTATATACATACTATATATCAGAATAATATTCTATTGAGGAATACTATATTATAGAATAATGTTCATCTCAATAAACATTTGAGATTACAAGAGAAAAACTGAAAATAGAAAATGAAAATATTCAGATAAAGGAAAATTTTAATTTTAATAGAAACAATATAAAAGTTTTTTTTTTAAGATTTATTTATTTATTGATTGATTGATTTATACATATATGCATACAAGCACTGGGTACAGTCAGAAGTGCGGGAGGGTGAGAGAATTCACCAGAGCCAGAGCGGAGAGCAGAACAGGCAGAAGGACCGAAGCACACTGCTGAGGGGAGCAGCGGGCGGCAGGAGAGGTCTGCGCGCCATGTGGGACCCTCCTCCAGTGGCCTGGGAGCAGCCGGGGATCGAACCGGCGCCGCAGAGGCCGTGGGCAGCTTCGCAACCCAGCGCTCAACCGCTGCGCCACCAGGGAGGCCCCAATATAAAAGTTTTGAATGTAAGTGGAAAATATAGCATGAATTTGCAGTAAACTAGAAACATTATAGAATTAATTGTGTATAACTGAAATGTTACAGAGAATAGATGAACTATAGAACTACAGAACTCTGTGGACATTCTGGAAGGTTCCATAATCTATTAGCTTCTTTGATTTCTGTTGACTAATGAAGTTGTTCATTTCCTGAATTTTTAACTTGAACAAGTTATAATATTTACTTTAATCAGTGTATGAAATGAATAGTACATTTTAAGATGGAGTATAACTCAACCCTAATATTAACTTTTAGAAAAATACTTTTACATTGCTTAATATGATATCCACTCTATTTCAATTACTTTAAAAACTGATTATACTTGCCAACGTATCTGAGAATAGAAGTCTGTTTATCTGTTCCAGCTGAATTACTTGCCAGGCAGCCATAGATCCCTGCATCTTTGGCAATTGCACTTTTGATAAACAAGGTACCTTCTGATGTCATCCTATACCTATGGATAAAGAAACAAATTCTTTTCAAATATCTTCAAATATTTTGGAATTACATTTTTGGCTCTAATTTCAGAAATGATCAGCATCACTTTGTAATAAAAAATGTTGCAATAATAATAATACATGCATGTATCACCTGGCTACGTGCCAGGGACCGATCTAGAAACTTTATTAGCATTTAAAAAATTCAGAACAACCCAATGGGTTAAATATTACTATCTATGTTTTACAGATGAGCAAAGAGGTGATATAACTTGCCCAAAGTCAGAGGTAACAGAAGAAATGGAAACTGTACTAAGTAATTTTGCTTCGAAGGCACAGCTATGCCAATGGTTCCTCACAATGAAAACCTGAGAGAAGCAAGGCCTCATGTTACACAGAGTCAGGGATCAGGCTATGGATAAAAATCAGCTTAGGGTCTCCCTGGTGGCTCAGTGGGTTGAGCACAGCACTGTGAAGCTGTCCGCAGCCTCTGCAGTGTGGGTTCGATTCCCAGCTGGCCAGGGAGAAACTCACAAGGCGCAGAGGACCTCGCCTGACTTACCCGCTGCTCCCTTAAGCAGTGTCTTTGGTCCATCTGCCTGTTCTGCTTCCCACTCTGTCTCTGGTGAATCTTCTCACCCTCCTGCGCTCTGGCCTGTACCCCAGTTCTTGTACAAATAAAATAAATCTTAAAAAAAAAATCAGCTTATACCTAGGCCTTCTTCCTTATGCCAAACCAAGAGCAATAGGAGCATGATGGCTGGAAACTTTGTTACGTTCCACATGCTCACTTTACTACTTGAACTTGAGAGGATTCAATGTCTTTGAAAAGCATCCAACACAATAAAATGCCTCTCGATATAGTGTGACTAATGTGAATGGGAGGTACAAAGTGCATTACACACACTCTAGAGCTCCTGTTCTGTCTCTTTTTCTCTTTACTGTTGAATACCATGACCCCACCTTTTACAAATTTATTAAAACAACATGTTATGCCACAAAATGTTTATTATCCTCATTTCAATGATTCAAGGTAAACCAAGTGTTATGGTATTATTCTCCATCTCAAAGTGTTGGGAAGTGCTTGATCCCAGCTACTAAGTTCAAGACTTTAAAACCTCAACCTCCATAAATTCATCATTATTTTTTTTAATTTCCTGAATTATTAGAAAATCTAAAGCTGTGGATTTTAGTTAAACCTCCCTTAATCTTAGGGATTGAAAGGTCCATGCAGGGGGCCAGAATGCAGGAGCCAACCAGGAAGCCCACCTGGGGGGCAGGAATGTGGATACCTGCCTGGAGGATTCAGGCGGTGCGCCTCCCCCCTCCACCCCAGGAGTCTCTTCTCAGACAAAGAACCCCTTACCTGCCCCAGGAACCTTTTCATGCCCTACAAACTTTTCCCGCCAAACGAGCCCACCTGACCTCTCCTCACCCTATAAAACTCTGCTTCCCCCTAACAACGTGCGCGACTCCACTGACCCCCGCCTTGGGTCTGTGAGGTCCGCCCCGGAGCAATAAACTTTCCCTTCCCCCAAGGAAGCTTGGCCTGGCTGTTCTTTACCGCGCCGAACCTTTCAGGGATTTTGTCAGATTTGTTTTGTCTGGAAATTCCATCAACTTTTCTCAATAAAAACAAAGAACATGATACAAACCCAGTACCTGTGTGAACCCATGATTAACATATCTTTAACAGTCCAGGCGATCTTTGGTTTGGGATAACCCGTTGCAGAACACATAATGGAGACCTCAGATCCTCCTGTGAAAGACTGATTTTTGGGCATCACAGTGACTTTGGGTGGTTCTGCAAATAGAAAATAAAAAACAAAATCTGTAGTGAAATGCCAGTCCACCTTGTTTTGAGGAGCTTCCTCTGTTAGCAGATTTGTGAGCTTCTCACCACCACCCCTTGATTGTCTTCCTCTCTGAGTGGCCCATATCAGAGATCTGGTCCATCCGTGCAGGAGAGTAATACCAACAGCAATGAGAGCAGAGGAAGCAAATTCTCCTGGAGGATAAAATGAGTTGGAACCTGATGTCATGTTTCTGTGTCTCCAGTGGTTACCATGTGACCCCTTGCTACTTTGCTTCCACCTCTGACAACTGGTCTCTATCTGCTTATACAGAACTTCAATATAAGCCTGTTTTCCAGAAAAGTCTAGATAGGAACTTGTGCCTCTTTCCTTATAGTGATGACCGGTTTGGAGCCAAAACTTGTCCTGGCTGCTCCCTGCTTTATTTGAACTGCTGCTCTTTCTCCTTTTATCAATTAGATTGTAAATTTGTTGAGGCAGAGATTATGTCTTTCATGGGATTCTACATTCTACTATATTCTACAGTATTTTAAAATCCTTTGCATGTTATGTAGTGACCTGTAAATTACAGACACTTACAACTGTTGGTAGAATATAGGCTCTGAGAATTTTCACGACTCCCAGCCTCTCAAGATCCTGCTCTATTGATCATTTGCCTCACATGCAAGGATTCACAGGATCTCCACTTCAGAAAATAATAAGTTTTTCAAAGTTCCTATTGCATTACACTTCCATGGAAGAAAAAATGAACTTTCAGAAATGAAATATGAAATCAGGAATTTATTATCACATAGAAAACAAAAATTCTGGGCCTCCCCTGATGGCACAGTGGTTGAGCGCTGGGCTGTGAAGCTGCCAGCAGCCTCTGCAGCGCCGGTTTGATCCCAGCCGCCGGCGAGGGTCCCACATGGCGTGCAGACCTTTGCTGCTGTGCCTGCTGCTCCCCTCAGCAGTGTATTTTGTCAGTCTGCCTGTCCTGCTCCCAGCTCTGGCTCTGGTGAATTCTCTCACCCTCCTGTGCTTCTGAGTGTACCCAGTGCTTGTATAAATAAATAAATAAATCTTAAAAAAAAAAAAAAGAAAACAGCAAAGAAGCTTGCTCAGAAGTTTTCTGCTGTTTTCTTTTCTTTCTTTCTTTTCTTTTTTTTTTTTTAAAGATTTATCCTTATCTTGTCATCCAGAATGAGAAGCACCCAGCTGTGTATCAGTGTCTTCAAACTGGAGCCTCTGCTCCTTTGATTTTCAATTTGGGGCTTGTCTTTGAAACCCTGTTCTTTTTTTTTTTTCTCAGCATCTTGTGGAGTGTCTCTCCTAAACCCCCAAAATTGTAGGATCTTATTGACCTTGGAGGATGACTGCTTATCTTTTTAAAATGCTTTCCAGAGTTTCCCACAGTAATTTTATATAGACCACAAATTCTGTATTTTGACTATACCCCAAGATGTTCTCTAATTTGATGAAACTCAGTATTTGTGTGTTTGTGAATCTAGCTATTAGTGTGCACATAAATAAAGGTAATGGAAATTTTGGAAGAACTTCATTTTGCTTTTATAGACAGATGTCATCTGGCAACACAGAACTCAACATAGAAATTTGTCATCTGTGTAGTGAAAGCCCCCTGGCATCTGCCTCCCTAGTCATCCACTAAAAACATAATCTTCCTGGGCCTCCCCGGTGGCGCAGCGGTTGAGCGCTGGGTTGCGAAGCTGCCCGCAGCTTCTGCAGCGCCGGTTCGATCCCTGGCTGCTCCCTGGCCACCGGAGGCGGGTCCCACATGGTGCGCAGACCTTTCCTGCTGCCTGCTGCTCCCCTCAGCAGTGTACTTCGGTCCTTCTGCCTGCTCTGCTCCCTGCTCTGGCTCTGGTGAATTCTCTCACTCTCCTGCGCTTCTTACTGTACCCAGTGCTTGTATAAATAAATAAATGAAATCTTTAAAAGCAAAACAAAATAAAACATAATCTTCCTAATTAATTACCATGATTATAGCCCTGTTGGCTTTAATAAATTTTATCTGCTCCCTATCACTTAAATTGAGCACCAGTCATCACCCTGACACCCTCAGTCATCCATTATATAACCTTGCTTCACTTTTCCCACCCTCTCTTACCACTATATGACATTTACCTTAGATTTCACCATTTACTCAACCTGATTTATACTTTTCACAGTAGTTATTCTATGCCTTTGCTTGTGTGTTCTCCCTAACCACAAAGTCTTCTGTCAAAATCCGATCCTTCAGCACTTGTCTCCAAATTCACCTCCTTGATAAAGCTTTGCCTAACATCCATCTATTCTTTCTTCCTGCTTTGAGCTTCTAAAACAAACAAACAAAAATTCTCTGGGGTAACTGAGATAGTGATATGTCAGGTCTAATCAGTTACATGGTTTATATCTATAGTACCACAGAGTGAAAACTAATTTTCAGAGAAGGTACATACCATGAAGGAAATATTAAATATATTTCATGGTATAAATATCCTCCACTTAATAAAATAAATGAAAGTGAATTCATATCTACAATGTTTAGAAAAGACCTCATGAGTATTAACATGAGTATTAACAAGAATAAATAAATTGATACATACATTTTTTTGCACAGTTATTAAGTCCCAGGCTCTGTGCTCACTAGTAGAAATACACTGATGAGCCAAACAAACATGATGTCAACTTTGCATTTAACTGGGTTTTTAATATGAATGAAAATAAGAAGTTCAGCTAGTCAGATCTGTTCATATTTATGGCATATCTTTTTTATATTAGTATACAAATTGTGGCTTGGTTCGTTTACAAAAATTAATCTGAGGAATCCTCACACATCGGAAAGTGATACAAGTGGTATGATTGGGTGGGGGCAGCTACACAACTGAACAAACATAATTAGCACCTAATTGCTAGCAGCTTACAATTGCCCTCCCCCCTTTTATTTCCTGTTTAGATTGTGTTTTTCAAATTATGATTGTCTTTGAAGTTAATGTTTGAAGGGTTTTTCCGGCCTGAGAGGTTGGATTGATAGTCTCATTATTCCATGGATTCTTTTTGGTGAACACAGGGCTAGGGAAATGTATGAGGTCAAAGATGCAATGGTGATGTCCTGTAAATTCAAATTGTGATTCCATCTGGAGTTCATCAATTTTGAGATGCTGGGGTTATGGAAGATAGTCTTCAGGGGATGAGAGAGGGTAATAAGCACTTCTTTCATTTTTACAAATATCATTTAATATCCACAGTTATTCTCTCCTATCTTTCTACAATAAAATGTTTCTCATGGTTGATTCATTTTGACATAGAATTGCTGCAAATATTCAGCAGCTCTCAAGACTTTCATGTAAACATGGTGTCTTCCAAAGGAGTCTGCCAGAATTGGCCTGGCATTTCTCTCCCAGAACAAATCCCACAGGTAGACTCAAGAGTTCAGATATCAAAGAGAAAATAAATGTCAGTTACCCAAACAAGGATGTAGAGAGCTAAGGGGTCATTTCTCAAATTAAGCCTGGATACGGAGTACTGCTCAAGGTCATAAAATAAGTGTGTGCAAAATACAGATGGGATGACATCATCCCTTGAAGGTGAGAAATTTACCATTGTTCTGGAAAGAAAATTTTTGCTGATAAGAAAATCATAAAGGATTTGAATAAGCATAGGGAAGCAAAGTTGGATTAATAGTTGAATAAAGTTGGGCAAATAATAGTTGACTAAAGATGGGGAGGGCCTCCCCGGTGGCGCAGCAGTTGAGCACTGGGTTGCGAAGCTGCCCGCAGCCTCGGCAGCGCCAGTTCGATCCCTGGCTGCTCCACGGCCACCGGGTGAGGGTCCCACATGGCGCGCAGACCTCTCCTGCCGCCTGCTGCTCCCCTCAGCAGTGTACTTCGGTCCTTCTGCCTGCTCTGCTCCCCGCTCTGGCTCTGGTGAATTCTCTCACCCTCCCGTGTTTCTGACTGTACCTAGTGCTTGTATAAATAAATAAATAAATCATTAAAAAAAATAAAAATAAAGATGGGGAGACTCACACACCCTGAGTTGGTTTTCAAGCTCACTTTACCACCACAATCATTAGCATTACCACCATTATCATTGCTACCACCACCATCAACCACCAACCTTATCATCATAAGTAACCACCTGCTTCCAGGTAGTAAACGTAATAGGAATATGACACTCTATTAGGTATTAAGGCATCCATTCAGTTTTTTTTTTATTTTAATCATAACAAAAGCACCAGTTATTTCAAAGAATGAAACAGATTATGTAGTGCCGAGAAAAACAAACACTGATTTAAGACTTGGATGTTTTAATGCACAACAAAATGTATTATAAGTGACCACGAAAACAGCCATTGCTCTACCTACAAGGACTATGACAGATAAAATCTCACCTAACCCTTGGAAATCATCAATGTCTTCTTCATATGCAGAAAGCATGCTGTTAGGAGTCAAAGGGGTGTGATTCTTATAGGAAACTCTCAAACAAATGACTAAAGACTTTCTCTTCTAGTTGATTTAATCATTATTGATAAATTAATCAGATAATGGTAATTCTTTGGATTACCTTAGTAATGATTTAAAATATTTTTTCACCAGTAGTATATTTTTATAACAGTAGTATATTTTATGCCAGTAGTATAATGAGAGTATTTAGGCCAATTTCTTTGGTTTTTCATTCTTTCAAACAACAAACATTTACTGACTTCTATGTTTCAACATTTTATGCCTTCAAAGATCTCATAGTGCATTATATACAAAGGCATTTGCAATCAAATCAGTGACTAAAACTACTTCTAATAGTCAGTAGTCTATTAATTAAAATAGGAAGGTGGGCAACTTATTGAGTGCCAGGTGTCTAAGTCTAGACCCATCATTTTCCACAATAACCATGTGACATTTGAACAATAACTATGTGAACTGATATTTGACAGATAAAGAAACTAAGGTTCAAAATAAACCAGTGTGTCTATATCTTAGTGAAGATAATAACAACACCTACTTCATAGAAT